AGAAGGCATTGTAGCATGGACATCCCCCTGGGGTGCTTCTCTCCCTGTCTATCTCTCTCTCTCTCTCTCTCTTTCTCTCTCTCTCTCTCTCCCTCTCTTTCTCTCTCTCCCTCCCTCCCTATTTTTTTCAAGCAAGTGCACATGCACTCTGGTAAAATTTTTAAAATAAAAAGAGTGCAGACTTCGGAATCAGATGGGTTGGACTCCAGCTCTGCTCTGGGGAAAGATACTTGCACACTCTAAGCCTCGTTCTCTTGCTTGTAAAAGGAGGACAGTGATATCTCCTACCTGATTCTGGCCGTGAGGATCAAAGGATACTATTTATACCAAGAGCTGGGTATAAGGCTGAGCCCTGGGTAGGTCATCAGTAAATGTTAGTTAATGGTAATATTAAGTGCTCTTCATTTTATTTCACTAGCTTCTGATTTATTTAGATAAATTATCATGCTATTTCTCTAATTCTGCAAACTTCCATGAAGCAATTATTATAGCAATTTAAAACTATAAAATGGAAGTACTTTAGTGTTTTATTCTCTAAAGAAATTAAGAAAAAATGTAACAGTCCAAAAGGGGGTGTTTAAGGGGCTCGTGATTAAATCAAGGTGAAACTAGAAGATTATTCATGTACATAATGGCTGAGCGAGGCTGGGTGGTGGCAACCCCAGAGACTCCCTTTCTCCTTAGAGACCCCCATCAGACAACAGAAGTGAAAATCAATGCAGCAAACTGATTTGATGAAGATTAAATCATGCCAGACCAATTTAATTTCCTTCTGTGATAGGCAAAGACTTCTGTCACACAGAGCAGCAACAGATATCAGATACTGTGGCTTTCCCCAGGTCTTAAATCCTAGCCTACATAATGGCCAGTTCTAAAAACCTAATTGAAGAGACAGCAGGTGGCGGGGTGGTTAAGGCACAGGACTCCCACATGGCCTACTGAGCTTGGAGTCCTGGACTTGGCCACTTTCTTTCTCACTACCCACTGCCCCATCTCTCTCTCTTTGGTCAAATTTTTAAATAATAATAAATAAAATAATTCCTTAAAAACACACACACAAACCCTAACTGAGTTCTGCTGGCCAGTGGAGATGATCTCCAAAAACAGGAATCAGAGGCCCACAATCACTTGGGATCTTTAGGCTTTTTAAACCCTTTTTTTTTTTTTTTTTTGCCTTAGGACACACACTCGGTGGAGAGATAGAGAGATAGGGAGAAAGAGAGGAAGTGAGAAATCACCCTAGGGGGAATGGCCATGCCACAATCTTTTCTCCTCTATTCACCTCTCTCACACACACACCTGGCATGTTTTTCAAGCTGCCAGGTGTGGGACTCAAACCACAGTGTTGGTCATCACCACCACGCCAACTGCTGGCCCTCAGGATCACTTTTTGAGCAAGGAGGAGAGGCAAGAAAGTCTCTCCTGGGACCAGCAGTTAGTGTAATGGCTATGTCGCTGGACTCCCATGTAGTCAATTGCGGTTCACGTCCAGGACCCGGTGGCTTAAAACTCACGCCGGGTGCGTCTGCGTGCGTGCCCAAGATCCCGAGAGGAGAATGGAGGAGAAGGGATTGCAGTGTGGCCATCCCCCCGGGGGGATTTCTTGCTTTCTGTCTCTCTGTCTCTCTCTGTCTGGCGAGTGCACGCACCCTGTAGTGAAAACCTCTCAAAAAAAAAAATTTAAAAAAAGAAAGTCTCTCCTTTGTGGAACTGGCAGGAAACCATGCCTCCCTTACCTCTGCCACCAGTAGAATTCATCCAACAACTATTACTGAGCACCTGTCATGTAGCACACCCTTGATCTGTAACAGGCTAAAAGAAATGGAAGTGAGATTTAAAAGTAGATATGCTTAAATGGGACTTTTCATGCCATTGAGGTGGTGGGGCTGGGGTGGGGGCTACATAGAAATGGAATCTGTGGACTGAGCCAGGTGAATCAATAGAGTGGATAGAGGGGAGGGAGCTTTTTAAAGAGCATCCACAGGATTAGCAAGGCCCTTAGGAGAATCTAGGTTACGGTGATTTAAGTGGGATCAGGAAGCCTTCAGGAAACCTCGGCCTCGAGTCTCACATGTGCCCACACTGTGCTGAGCAGAGATGTGAAGATGACCTAGGTCCATGCCCTGCCCTCTGACGTACTGAGGTCCAGGTGGCCAGGAGAAAAAGTGGCTTCAATTTGATACTAAGAGAGAGTGACCAGGGGACCACAGAGAAAGAATTTTTGAGGGCTGAGGGAAGTGAGGGGAGGCGAGCACTGTGAAATGACTGAAGGAGTGTCCAGACTGGGACGATTCAACCAAGAGGCCCATCTGCCTTGGAGAAATGACCCCCAGAGACCCTCTCGAGCTCTAGAATTCTAGCAATAAGGCTATTTTGGTGAATGTTACAATCTAGACCCTCCTAAGTCCAACTCTTCCATCTGTCCACTATTGGAAAAGGATTGCTGTAAACCAGAAGTGGCATTGAGCTTCCTGTCACAACACAGACACTGTGGGCCATTAGGTGTCCCCAGCAGTCTGGGCTTGAATTCATGGGTAAAGCACTGGCAGCGGACAGCGGAGGCCAGGGGAGCAGAGAGGAAGAAAAGAATAAAAAATTCTGGCTAATCTCCCAGAATGGCTGGAACCCATGAGAGCTGTCGTTTTCTCAGATGTCCCACTCTGACTAAAAATGACCAGTTCTGGTCTGAAAACCCACAGGCACCAAAAACACTCTTCTGAAGTCCCTAGCCAATACCAATGTATCCAGGGAGCCTGGATTCAATCTTGATCTTTAGAAATGTCCCTGGCCCCAAGGTTGATGGAAATTCCTAGAGAATTGAAATGATGCTGCCCACCTAAGAGTCTTGCTAATTTGGGGTACTGCCCTGGGGCTGCAGCTGAGCACCTCCTGGGAGTGACATAGGTCTTCAGGGCAGCCCCATGTGTGGCATGTGCTTGCCCACGGACCCACCTGTTGCAGTAAACCAGATCTCACGATGGAGGGGGTATGGGTCAGGATGGCAGTAATCATAGGTAAATGTTGAATACATATGTGCATACTTAGCCATTCCATCGTAACTCCCTCATACCATAAGCATGCACACACATATATGCAAACATCAAATACTCCCGGTCACCAAGGCAACCATTCTCTGAAGCTCTACTTTGTTCTTTTGCATGGTAAATCTTTTTAACCTTATTTCTTTGGCACGCAGCTCTGGGCTTTGACTCTCTGCTGAGAAATACCACGCGTCTTTGGGAAACACTGTTACATTTTGCATTTACCAGGTCCCCTAGAAGGATCATGTCTTATCCTCCTTCTGATTCTGAATTCAAACAACACATCATTCGGTAACTCTCTGAACATATAGACAACACCAAATAACCGTATGATTGCCTCTGAGAATCAAAAATCTTAGAGAAATACAATGTTATACCTTATACAGCTTTCACTAATAGCTCTTGCTTTAGAAAAAGCAAGTCACAAAGTTTATGGGGAAAAGGAGCCAGCTTTGGTTCAAAAAGTTGGGGAGATTGGGGCCAGCAGGTGGCATGGTGGTTAAAGCACTGGACTCCCACATGGTGGATCGCAGGTTTGAGTCCCAGCCCTGGCAGCTTGAGAATCATGCCGAGTACATGTTCATGTGTGCCCGAAATCTCAGAATGGAGGAGAAGAGATTGTGGCATGGCCATCTCTCCACCCCCCAGAGAGTGATTTCTCTCTCTGTCTCTCTCAATTTCCCTCTCTCTCTCTCTCTCTCTCTCTCGTCTCTCTCTGAGCAGTGCCCTGTGGCAAAAACCTAAGGAAAAAAAAAAAAAAAAAAAGACAGGGAGACGTATTCTCAAGTCTAAAGTGACAGCTCTTATTTAGATGCGGATTTAGGATTATTTGTTTTAAAAGTGGCTCATCTTTTTTTCTTCCTTTATATAATATACATTATGCTTCAAATAACTTTATTTTATATTTTAGATGTCATTTTCCATATACACCAACACCATAAAGGGATCAGGAAACAATTAAACCTTTTTTATCCAAATATTCACCTGGCTTTTCACACCGCTTGTGTACTAAGGGGTGAGATTTCTTTCCTTTCAATGTCACCACCTATTTATGTCTGAAGGTCAGTCTGTGGCCACAGTGTACAAGTCCACGCTATAACGAGTTGGATCTGCTTTTTTAAAAACTCCTGATTTATGACTGGACCAGAAAGTTCTTTGCATACCCTTCTATCAGGTGTCTGCTGGACAGAGAATGACCTAGGTGAGATTAATCTACAGTCCAAATCCACTTTCATGCCCTGCCTCAGATTAAGCACTGAGGCACCCTGGGGCATAAAGAAAAGTCCTTTACTCTGAAACAACTGCTTGAAAGCCAAAGTGCGGGCTGATGATGGCAGACATGCATTCATTTTGCCCTGAAAGAGGATTCTCGTTTTTTAAGTCAGCGGGCGGTGAGAGGGCTCTTTCCCAACAGAGAGAAGTCGGGGAGCGACCAGGGAGACTCCGCCCCGGCAATCCCAGTGGTGTGTCGTGTCTCTCTAAAGAGGGGCCAGGCGGCCAGTAGATGAGGTCATTCACTGTGTACCCAGGTGGCCAGAGCGGGAGAAGGGCCGCTGCAGGGCAGAGGCGACCCTGGGCGGATCAGGGGCATGGGGTGGACGGAGGGACTGGTGTGCAGCGAGGTGGGCTGTCCTCCCCCATCGTCCCTTGGCCAATGAGCGTGGCTGGCCGAGGCAATGAAGTGCTAGGTTTCCCCAGAGCTCGGGATTAGCTCAGCCTCTGTCAGGGGATCTTGACCCGGCTCCCTGGGTTTGGGTCTGTCCACCCTCAGCGGGCAGGTGCTGTCTCTGTCTCTCTGTCTCTGCCTCTCTGTCTCCCCCTCCCTCCCAATTCTTCACGGCACTGGGCTGCGGGCAGCCCTGGACGCCTCCACCCTTCGCGCTTCTCCCTCGGTGGCCAGGCCTGCAGGCGCCCGGGGGAGCAGGGCGGGCGAGGTCTGCAGGAGCCGGGCTCACTCACCCGCGTGCAGGCCGCCGGCCTCGGGGCCGCTGTCCGGGCCGGCTGCGCTCGGCTGCGCGGCCGGGGCGGGG